TAAGTCTACTAAGAGACAACAGATTAAATGAGAAATTGGGTAAACTCAAAACAGAAGACAGATGCATATTTGGAGTTAGGATAACCGAGCCTGACCCAAGGACCTTAGATGTGGAACCATCAGCAAGGGTAACAGGGGAATGAGATGTGTAGGGCTGAAAAGTGGAGAAGACACTAGGATTACCTGACATATGATCTGTGGCTCCGGAATCAATAACCCACTTGGAGGAAGACGAGACAAGACAAGCACTATCGTTACCTGAATTCGTAATTGCCGTCATAGAAGGAGATGAGCGCTGCAGAAGTTCCTTGAACTGGAGGAATTGGGCATACTCATCTGTTGAAGTAGGGGGGTTAGAGTTTTCACCCGAGGCAAAGTGTGCAGCTCGTCCCCTTTGATTCACACGTTGAAGTTTCCTACAATCACGCTTATAATGTCCCTCTTTGTGACAATAATGACAGATTATGGGCTCTTGATTCTGTGGGGTGCCACTACGAACGAATGACTTATATGGTTGCTTTGGTGACTCAGTTTGCATCCTCTGACTTATAAGAGCATTCTGGGGTGCACCATCTGAAGGCTCTATGGGTTTTACACTTTCACTACGTTGAATCCGTGAGTACCCATCGTGTAAAGTGGGAACCTCAGAGTCTGCGAGGACCCTTTCTCTGGCAGCCTCAAATCTCGGGGCCAAGCCTGCCAAGAAACTCATTGTTGCCATCTGCTCTCGCTGTTGTTGCTGAGTTTTGACATCTGGAGTGAAGGGCATCAATGAATTTAAGGCCTCATATGTCTTCTTGAAGTCCATGAAGTATGCTTGAAGAGATTGATCCTGCTGGTCTGCCCGATAGAAAGCCTTACATACATCATAGATACGAGTAAGATTTCCCTTACCTGAATATAGAAATTCCAAATAGTTCATCAAGTCTTTAACTGTTTCACAATGGCCAACTAACCCAAGCACATCCCCATCAATTGAGTTCCGGATTTGGAGGAATAGTCGAGCATCATCCCTCAACCACACTTTCTTAGTAGTTGCATCCTTAGGAGGATCATCAGTCATATGATCGTCCTTGTCAGTACTTCGGAGATATAATTTAATAGTCGTGACCCATTCAAGATAATTAGAGGAACTAAGTTTCCTCTCTGTGATTTTTGACATGACTGGAAAAACCTCAGACATGACACTAGACTTATCACCCATTTCAATGGACTAAAATTTGAACAAAACCTGATTGGCAGAGGAAGACAGAGCAAAAATCACCCACTGAATGTCCAAACTGAGTCTGCACAGGTGCTTAGATGACTCAGGCGACCCTGACAGTGATTTTTGACAGTGGATCTGACCAGCACTGGCTGGGCGTGAGGTCTCCAACGAAAGAGAGATTCTCCAGAATTGTTCTCCTGCAATGTGCGACTCCACCCACGGTGGCGGTGACGTCAGGCGAGCACCCTTAGAGACAGCGTCAAAATGGCAGAAGCCCTTTTTTTTTACAAATAATGAACCCTAATCCTAGAGCACACTGGCTCTGATACCATGTGATTGATAATCAGAGGTGTTCCTCATTATACATTATTACATAATACAACATGACTATATATACATAAGAAGGGTGCTAATATAAGGAAACTAAATCTCCCATATTAATGCCTAAATCACCCATATTAATGGCCAGATCAGATCCTGCCATATTCTCAGGACTTAACTAAAATACTAATATTATTACTAATAACAGAAAGGAAATGGGTAAATAGGAACAATAAGGAAGAAGCATTATCATTGACAAAACTCCATGGACAATTTGCATGGATCCTGCTTATCATCAAAAAAAATCCAAAGAGCTACTACTCTCAGTTTTTTATGGAAAACATGAAACATGCATCGACATGCGCAAAGGGCGACAAATCTTGAAACAATATGCCTACTTAAAATACTACCAAATACACCATGAAAACAAAGGTGGTAGAAAGCTCAAGTGCCACAACGTAATCTTAAAAATACACATCATATATTTATTTTCATTTTTAAATTTAAAAAAAGTTGGTATAAATCCACTCATTTAAGAACTTAATGCATGTTAAGACGTAAGACAAACACTAACCAGCAAAAACACCCTTAGAGAGATCAATAAGGTCTCTAAGTGCAAAGAAGTCACTGCCTTCAAGAAGATATCTGCGAGAACCAACCGCTTTGAATATAGAGGCACGGAAGTTACAACGGACAAATGGAAGCATCACACCTATTCTTCTTCTCATATTCGTCACGTGTTGCAGAGTTGGAACCTTTGAGAACAGCACAGGATTTACAGCACTCACACAAAGCATTGGCTGGAAAAGAAAACTGGCATTAGAGTCCCACTCAATAAATACACGAGTTACTACTGCTGTTCATAGATGAATGTCAGTTCAGAATAAAAACTCAGAAGTTTGAGCGCGTGTATTTATCTTCTTTTCTTTTGGTCTATTATGACCAAATTCAGCCTAAAAGCCCCATTAAACTAAAAAAAAGAACAAGAATAAAAACCCAATGAGAGTTTTAGGGTTTCATAATATGGTTTATGTAGATACTTGGTGCTTGACACGTTTAAATAAAAGTACTGAGCAAGTGTGCAACAGACTGCAATATCGAACATTTGGTTATGTAACAGACTGAAATTTTTCTCTTCGAAAGGGGCAATATTAGACTGCAATTTCTGGACACACTTGTTTACCTACATATACTACGATACATTTTCACCAAAAGAATGCATTGATCATATTAATATTTTTTGTATTTGATAAATATATTTTGGTATGTTTCCTTCATTACCTGGTCATGAATAGACTCCAGATAAGATTTAGCCATCTGAGAAACTGAATAGTAATTGAAATCCCAGTAGTGCAGAACTCTTGCTGGTAAGACCGCCGTTTCATTAGTGTGACACGAAGAACAATACAAGTGACCACTGTATTCACACAGACGAGGCCGGCCCCACCCTAGTGTCTGTACAAATTCCTGTATTCGACTCTTTCCAACACCAAAGTTCATGTGGCAGCCCGCGCAACTGTAATGTTGTTCATCCAACAACTGTTTCACAGATTTAAACGGCCTGTTTTGAACAATAAGTGATATAGTTTTCCCAAAAGTTGAACGAAGAGACTTAGGTATGTTTGTATTGGATGGGAGCAGATCAGAAATATCCTGTGATGGGGACAAGAAACAAAACAGAGCATTCAGAGGAGCAGAAAGAAATTCTGTGTGAAGAACTGATTGTAAACACGCTTGAATGAGAACACTTCTCTCAGCAATGACATCTGGGGAAGAACTACGGAAAATATTTAGTGGTTCTAGTTCAATAGAGGACCAGGGAGAAGAAAGAATCAAGCCTTGATCTGCAAATGTCTTCTTCAGACTACGATAAAGGTTCAAAAAATCACGAAACCGCCGTTCAACATCCCATTTTTCCTCTCCACTCCAAACCCTTATTTTATAAACGGTGTATTCTTTTACTCCAAGCATACGCTCACTAAGGGAAACATTCCCGTTTATCTGCCTTGCTCCAATGACTTCAGTCCAACTAATCCTCCGTGGGTGCTGAATAACAGGATAAACATCATCTGTGCCAGAAGTTGAAGCAGTAGAACCACCATCTCTTGAAAGAAGAGGTATATAGGACTGATATATCCTGTTACCTAGAGCAAATCCTGAAGATTCACTTGAATCAAGTAATATTTCTTCCATGTCATGAACAATCTCATCATAGAATCCCTTTAGCTCAAGGTTCACTGTCTAAAAGAAAATAAAGTAAGAGGAAGTACAGAAACAAGAAACTTAGCTATGACTACATTAACAACAACAACAACAACAACAACAACAAATCCCTTGAACTCCCTGTAACCATTACACCCTAGATGCATTGTTGCATTTTCTGCTCAAAACTTCAGAGAAAGTAAGGAGAAAGGGAAGCTTAATGTGCCATTTTGATTTAGTCTATTATTTACCCGAGGCTAAAAGGTTGAAAAGAATAATTTCAGATGGCCCAAAGACATGTCAAGTTTTAAAAAAGCAATTCGTGTTGTTGCAGAGTACTTCTTAACACATTTGTAGCAAGTCACTGTCATGCAATGCATTTACATAGAGTACTTTTTGTAAACAAAACTATGTTTTCACAACAAGTATGAATAAAACTATGGTCTCTCTCTCTCTCTCATTAGTTTACTAAGATTTTGGAATGAAGGGGCTTAAATTCCTTCATTCTTTCCTGAGCCAAGAGATCCAACATGTCTCCTGACTTTTTTTAAGACCACCTGGAAACATAAGAAAGAGAAAGATGCCTTAGGCGTTGAAACAAGAATTCTGTCTTAGTGAAAAGTAATCAATCCTAAAAACACCAAGGGTCCCTGATAGACAACAAGTGATCCCTTGATTGCAGAGTTTGCATCAATAGTTACGGCATTAACTATACAGAGAACTAAATAAGTGCTGTGGAATATGATTTCAAATAAAGATGCACTAGTAATGTTCACCAAATTTAAAACAACTGATGCAAAACGATATTCAAGTAAATGTGTTAACATGCGGAACAGGAGATTTTGTTATTATCTTTTCCTCATAATTTAGTAAAAATTGTTGATACAGTGGCAATCTAGATCAAGTGATCAACTATGCTTTTAGAGATAATCTAACCTGTGTATCTTCAGAATGCTCTCCTGAAGCAGAACCTAAAAGTGGTTCCGCATTCAAGGTAGTGCCTTTAGAATCCATCCTAGATGAATGGGTCTGTGTTCCTTCCTCAGAAATATTGTATTGCTGATTATGACTCAAAATGCCTTCTCTGTTATTAAGACAATCTTTGAACTCTGCTGGTTCACCAACACTCTTTTGAGTCAGCAACACTTTCAGATGTTCTCCTTGCTCACCTTTACAATTTTTTAGGAGATCAGAAGGCTCCAAAGGTCTAGTAGTTGTATTTGTGCACTGAGATAATACAACACTAGTATGCTCTGGGTTATCAATTACAAGCGTGTGTTTTGCCTCTTCTTGTTGCATTGCAGAATTTGCACCAGAAAACATCAGAGGTATCTTATAAGCAGAAAGTAGACAACCAGTTTCAGCTTCAAAGTTCTTGTTTTCAGCTCGAAAGTCATCTTGTGCCAGTGTAACTAAACTGTTTGCTTTAGTTTCTTGCATGAAATCATCCCAATCATCAGACCCAAAAGCAACAGCAGAATTCATACAAAGTTTATTTTCAGACTCGCCACGTTGTTGGCTCAACTGTGGTAAACTGCTCCTAAAATATGAATTGATTCTCTCCTTTGTGTCTGTCTCCCCTCCATACATTGAATGATCATCTTCCGAATGGCCACTTCTTGATGAGGTATCACACCCATCCAAGCATCCTCCAGATTCAGCTGCATCAAGTTCCAACCCAGCTTGCAGACAAGATGCTTCTAACTTCCCATTGTAAGTTTCAACTTCTTTTCCAAGAACTCCCACGTCCATGTCCTCTTCAAACCCATGGATCTGAGACCCTTCTTCATCACTTTTCGTTAAAGAAAAGCCCTGAGTTTTTACCCTCCATCCCCCATCCATATTAAGATATTCCATTAAACTCTCCTCGCGTTTCAAAAACAAACCAGCATCTCCATACAAATCTGCTCCACGGCCTCCACCCCTTGCCCCGACCAATTCTTTTACTGCTTCACTCTTTTGTTTACAGTATTCATTTTCATGTAAAGGACTGGGATCACAAAAGTCTGATAATTTCCTGTAACTTCCACAGTTCCAGCCCTTATGTTGTTCGTCACCTAGTCCGAAACTATCTGGAAACTCACGAAATGCTGTTGAGGCTAGTGAACTACACACGGTAGGAGTCCCCATGGCTGAATTGGCACTGCAGTACCTCTCATACTCCGATTCACATGACGAGTAATATGTTAAGACATCTGCGCTATCCGATTTTGGAGACAGTAAAGAATCATGGTCAGGTGGATCGCAATGGGAGTCAACAGCAGCTGATAATTTCTCTCCTGTCCCCTCTCCGTTTACCATCTGATTATTGACAATGAAATTTTGCAGAATATTCAAGCGGAAACCAAACAAAATTCAGAAGTTGCAATAAAACTGAGAGTTTGATTAGTTTGAATACACTTTCTTTAGTTGGAATTGGCTTGAAATCGCCAAATTAGTATTTCTAAAGTAAACCTTACTATCTTCTCCATGTTACATATACGTATTGCAAAAACAAATTTAGAAATAACAAAAAACACAACTTCATCAAATATACAGAAATGGTTCATTCCATCAAGCTCTGACATGAAATTAATTAGTAAAGCTACAACTCTTTCTTAGAGACAAATTACCCAGTATTTGTCATTCTTGTAAGATTTATTACATAGGATCTGGAGATCAAATTGAAACTCTAATAAATTGGAAGTTAGTTTCAAAACAGTTTCCTTAGTTGAATTTGGTTTGAATTCGGTCGAATCAGTACAATTTCTAAATTAAACCTAAATAAATCCTACTACTATCCTCACCATTTTAAATCTATGTATCCCCCAATTCATCAAATATCCAGAAATGGTTGATAAGATCAAGATTATTTATCATAGCTTCAATTATTTATCAGTGGTAAACGACTGAGTACGTATCGTTCTTGTAAGATTTACAGAAACTGGTCTGAAGATCAAACAAAAACTTAATCGGAGAATCGTAAGAAAAACATTTTCAACTTCCCCCAAAAAACAAAAAAAATCGTTTCAGAAAGAGATGATTAAGCATGCTCGCTAAGGAGTTGAAGAAGGTGGGGAAGTCAGAAAGGACTGACCTCTGGCTCTGGAGATCGACTCATGATGCACAGAGATGGTGTGGAGGGGATCGGGGGAAGATCACGGATTCACTGCATAAAATGGAGTGGTGCTGCAATCAACAATTTGTTGGAGAAGAAGACGACGATCATTAATTAGGATTAAGCCTCAGTTTCTTTAAACTTATCTGATCTGATTTTAATAAGTTCTGATCTGATCTGATCTGATTGTATCTGATCTGATCTGATTAGATCTGATCTGATCTGATTAGATTTGATCTGATTGGATCTGATCTGATTGGATCTGATCTGATCTGATCTGATCTGATTGGTTCTGATCTGATTGAAAATTGTAATGATAATTCATATTATAATATAATCAATATTTTTTTATGATTATTTTTTAATGAAACAAAATTAATTAACTCATATATTAGAATAATCATTCATATTATAATATAATAATATTTTTTATTTTATGATTTTTTTAATGAATAATATTGATTTAATATTTTAATAATTAGTTTATATAAACATTAGAATAATTATTTAATTTATATATGCACTAAAATGTTATTTAATATAGATAATCAATGTTATTAATAATCATTAATATATTTATTAAAAGATCACATCCTTAT